CTGCGGTGGCCATGTGCTTGGACTGGGACGAGGTGATGTGGCTCCCGCCCCACGCGGCCACCAGGCACTGGTCGTTGCTGCTCCTGCCCGGCCGGCGCCTCTTGCACTGGCGGCGTCGTGCTCGTCGTCGTCGGGAACCCTGCGCAGTGACAGCCCATGGCACACACGCAATCGGGAAATCCCACCTGGAGGTTCGTCAGAGCCTGGGGAAACAAGCAAGTACCGATACCGCTACACCCCGGACCTCTCCCGGGGCGCGTTCTGACCAGGATTTCGAGGCGAATCCAGCGGTGGCGACGAGGGCCTCCCAGGAGGCCCAAAAGGAGGAAAACGAGGAAAGGGTAGCGGTATGGGTGCCTCTTCCCTCTCTGCGAGTCTATGTAAAAGCCTGCCTCCTGACAAGGCTGTGGCGAGCAGGGGGGGATCTTAATCTCCGTCGCCGTCCTGACGGCCAGGCCTTGCACCTAACTGTTGCTCCTGGAGCCCCGGTGTCAGCAGCGCGCAGCAAAAATCGCCCGCCCCGTCGTCGGGGGCGGCCAAGAGGGGGGGGATGTAGATTATGGCCGGCGGCACGTGCGCGGCCCAGGGGGGGGGGCCACGGACGTAAGGAAGTAATAAGAGGCGCCATGACATCTGGGGAACTATCATGGCCCACGCTATGATATCCCCCCCCCTAGTCTTGAGTCGGGCCTGTTCCCCTACACGGGACTTGTTGACGAAAAATAGAACATACCCCAAACATGCCCCCCAAAATGTTCAAACATAAGATAAAAAAATCCCCAGCCTATGTTTGGACTACGTTTGAATATCCCCACCTGTAGAAGGCCAGGCCCGACGTAATCCCAGTCGCCCCCTTCCGCCAACTTCGAGGCCAGGCTCTGCTCTGCTCCTCCTCCTCCTCCTCCCTCCTCCCTCCTCCCTCCTACCCTCCTTACCTCCCCCCCTCCTCCCTCCTCCCTCCTCCCTCCTCCTCCTCCTCCTCCTCCTCCTCCTCCTCCTCCTCCTCCGCCTCCTCCTCCTCGTCCTCCTCCTCCTCTCAACGAGCCAGACAACTCGATGGCGGCGAGCGGGGGGGAGAAGTGAGAGGGGGCGGGCCTTCTCAGAAGGCTCGGACGGAGCCCCCGGCCTTCTGAGAAGTTTTCTAAGCCTCCCCCGAAGACACAGAAAGCTTCTCGGAAGGCGCGGGGGCTTCTGAGAAGTCCCGCCGCCTTCCGAGCACGTTCTTCCTTCTCGTTTCCCTCCCTTGCCCACCGCCGACCCTTGTTGACAGGGAAGTAACTCCTCCGCGTCGCACCACCAAGAGGGAGGAGGAGGAGGAGGAGGAGGAGGAGGAGGAGGAGGAGGAGGAGGGTGGAGGAGGAGGAGGAGAAGGAGGAGGAGGAGGAGGAGTGTCAGCTGGGCCCTGGGCGGACTGAGAACGTCGCCTGTCAGTCCCCCCACCGCTCGTGGCCCCGCAGCTTGGCCAGCGCGGGCCCCAAGCCAGCGAGCAGGTCCACTCTGGATGTGTGCAGCGTGGGTGCAACCTGCGTGGCGCATGCTATGTTGAGCGATATCGAAGATGTGCGTGCATACATACATACATATATATACATATATATGTATGTATGAATACATATAACATATATATATACAGATACAGATATACATACATACATATATATATATGCATTCCCTACCTATGTTCTGCCTAGAAGGGTTCTTACTCGGTATGGTTAAAGAGTCGGGCAGTGCAACTCGCCCCGGGCGGTTCCCCCAGTATCCGCCCCGCGGTTCCCCCAGTTACGTCCCCTTAGCTTAGCGTTGCTCATCTCATCTTAGCTTAGCTTATGTCATCTTAGCTTAGCTTCATCTTAGCTTAACTTAGCTTCATATAGATGTTGCTTTCCTAGATCTTCCAATTCCTAGGTAGGGTCGCACTGGGATAATGTTAAATATATGTAAAGATATACAAGGCTGCATTGGCGGCTTCGCGCCATGAACCTTGGTCCTCCTCCTCCTCCTCCTTCTCTCCTCCTTCTCCTCCTCCTCCTCCTCCTCTCCTCTCCTCCTCCTCCTCCTCCTCCTCCTCCTCCTCCCCTCCTCCTCCTCCTCCTCCTCCTCCTCCGCCTCCTCCTCATCCTCCGTCTCCTTCTCCTCCTCCTCCTCCTCCGCCTCCTCCTCCTCCGTCTCCTTCTCCTCCTCCTCCTCCTCCTCCTCCTCCTCCTTCTCCTCCTCGTCTTTGGGAATGCACCGAATCCTGGGTTCGCCACGGGTTTCAAGGGAATTGTGCTGCGAACCCCGGATTCGGGTCAATTTGGTGAATTTCGTAGGAGACGCCTTCTGGAAGACGCACGATCGTGCAAAGGAATGACGTTCGGGGTCCTTGGCGTGGCCACCAAACGGGTTTGCTCGTGGCCCAAGTCGCGCCCAGTCGCGCAATGCAAGGCAATGGAAAGCAACGCCTCATCGTTTCTCGTCGCACTTCTCGTTCATCCACGCTCTCGCCTGGCATTGCGAACCATTTCCCGCCTGCCGCAGGTATTCTTGTGGAGGCTCCTCGTTGGAGAACATCTTGGGGGCCTCACGAATGCCTCTCCAGGGCTTTGGGGACCTCTGGACGTCCTGGGGCCTTCTTGGGTAACTTGGGCCCTCTTAGGGGACCTCCCATGGCCCTCGTGGGTCTCTCTATGGAGCCTTTGGGGGCGTCGTGAGCTTCTTTGGGACCGTCTTGGGGCAGTCTTGGGGTCCTCTTGGTTTGGCTTGGAGCCCTCTTGGGGGTCTCTTGGGCCGCTGTGGTGCGATTTCGCAAGCTTCTTGGGCCGTCTTGGACTCTGCTACGATACAACAAGGGGATATGCTAAAAATGTACGCTTCCATGAGGGAATGGGACGATTGTTGTCTCTTGGGGACTCTCCTAAAGGTCTGAGGCGTCTTTGGGGCCTCCGGGGCCGTCTTGGGGGCCTCTTGGGCCGTCTTCAGGCCGTCCTGCGCTGCCGTGGGGCTCTCCTGGAAAACTGGGGCCCTCTTGGGGATCTCCTATGGCCGTCGTGGGTCTCTCTTGGGAGCCTTTGGAGGCCTCGTGAGCTTTTTGTTAGGCCGTCTTGGGACAATCTTGGTGTCCTCTTGGCCCAGCTCGAGGCCCTCTTGAGGGCCTCCTGGGCCGCCTTAGGACGATCTCGCAGGCTTCTTGGGCCGCCCTGGACGCTGCTACGACACAAGAAGCGAATCAGCTAAACATGTGCGTTTTCCTCTGGGAATGGGACGATGTTTGCCTCTTGGAGGCTCTCCTGAAGGCCTCTTGGGGCCTCTTTGGGGCCTCTTGAGCCGTCTTGGGGGCCTCTGGGGCCGTCTTCAGGCTGTCCTGCGCTGCCGTGGGGCTCTCCTTTGGAAAACTGGGGCCCTCTTGGGGACCTCCCGTGGCCCTCGTGGTTCTCTCTGTGGAGCCTTTGGGATCCTGGTGAGCTTCTTCCAGACCGTCTTGGGACAGTCTCGGTGTCCTGTGTCCTCTTGGACCGGCTCGAAGCCCTCTTGGGGGTCTCTTGGGCCGCAGTGGGGCGATTTCGCAAGCTTATTAAGCCGTCTTGGACTCTGCCACGGCACATCAAGGGGATTTGCCTAACAATGCACGATTCCACGAGGGAGCGAGACGACTGCTGCCTCTTGGGGGCTCTCCTGGAGGCCTCTTTGGGCGTCTCTGGGGCCTCCGGGGCCGTCTCGTGGGCCTCTTGGGCCGTCTTGAGGCCGTCTTGTGCTGCCGTGGGGGCTCCCCAGCGCCTCTCCGGCCACCTCTCTGATCGCCTCGGACTTGCTGGCAAGGCCCGGCGAGGCGCCATGGGAGGTGCGGCAGGGCTGGGGGGCCCTCTTCCAGGGGCGCCCAGGGGGACCCAAAGCTCCCCATCGAGGGGGTCCAGTTTTTGCTGGGGGCCTCCGAGAATCGTTCGGGGGGGGGCCCATCTCCGGGGCCCTGGGCCCTATAAAATTGTGGATGCCATGACAATGGACACTCTATTAATCGATCGTTGAATTAAACATGTGTTAAACATGCGTAAAGCATACTCTAAATATGAGTCAAACATGTTTTGTTATATGTTTAAAACATGTTTGAAACATTGTTTAGGCATCTGGAAATTATTTGGCAGCACGCTTCCTCTCCATTAATCGACTTCCACATCTATAAAAGTATACGTAGCACCCCGCAGCTGCGAATAAGAGTGAAGGGGGGCGGTGGGGACGTCGAAGCCCGCCGCGGGCGTCGTTTTTTTCGTTCAAGCTTTGCGGGTGGGTCGCGGGGTGGGTCGCGGGGTAGGTCGCGGGTGGATCGCGGGTGGGTCGCGGGCCGGGTCGCCACGACAACAAACAAAAACAAAAACAGGAACAAAAACGACAACAACAACAACAACGACAACAACAACAACGACAACAACAACAACAACAACAACAACGACAACACCAAAAACACCAATCACAACAACAACAATCCGCACCGCATAACCTCACTTCAGCCACGCGCCCAGGGACGGTGTGTGACCGTTCGGCCCCTCACTCTGATAAATGGGAGTATGTGGTGCAAGCTATGTGTCCCATGCTATTTCATGTGGCATGCGTGCGTGGTGGCATATGCGTTGTGCCATTCCTTGGGCGCAACGGCGCAAAAAAGTGCAATATACGTGGTGCCGTCTACGTGGTGCCTTTAATGTTCGAAGATGTTGGAGCTGCCAACTCTAATGCTCGAGCAAAAGCCCTAAGCACCCACCCGCAACTTTTCGGCACCGTTCAACTCGTGCAGTAAGGCGAGGACCACGCCATGCAGATCCATGAGTGGAGCGAGCGACTGGTGGTGTTGACGACGACGTTGGCAACGACGATGATGATGACGATGATGACGATGATGATTGTGATGATGATGGTATGATGATGCGATGATCGAACAGAACTCAATCGGATCGAATCGCCTCAACTGGCTTAAACTGATACGGTATGTATCGCCAGCTCGCCATCAGAATACGTGAACCACTGCATCGTGAATTCAGATAGCAACTGACGTATTAAGTTGCATGCTGTCGCAGACGCGGCGTCTGCAACGGAACTCAAGGCTTCGTCTTTTCCCGCAGCTCTCGGAATCATCCGCGCCCCTGAATCGCAACACCTGGCACGCAATGAACCGATAGCATGATGGCTGGCAACTCTGGGTGGGATATTACTCGAGGGGTGGGCGACTAACCTTCCGACGGAGCTTGCCCATACCCACCCTCCTCCTCCTCCTCCTCCTCCTCCTCCTCCTCCTCCTCCTCCTCCACCTCCCCCTCCTCCTTCTCCACCTCCTCCTCTAACCCCCTCTCCACCCTTCCGACAGCACGTGCCCAACCCCCCAAGCGGATCCAAGGGGGGAGAGATTATCGCCACATCCAGAGTACACCCAGTATCATGATTACCAAGAAGATACTCAGCTCGAAACTCGATGGGTCGAATCCTGAGAACATAAGCCCGATGAATCTGCCAAGGGTTTCAGCTAAGACCGGCGTTGCCTGATCTGGCCATGTTTCGCGTGGCCACAGCTCCTCGTCGCCTGACTCCTGCCGACGAGCCTCTTGCCATCGACAGAAAAGGCATCCACGTTCATGCACGGAGCCCCGCGTAGTGCAAATCAGCATGCGAACAACCTTCGCCACCAATCACTGTCATTATTTTACGGGCGGTGCCCCGAAACCGTGAATAGATGTTGCCCCAACCTCGAACTGCCCAAACTCACCGCAGTATATTGCGATTCGACGATACTCTGGGAAACCTGATGCTGAGTTACAGCATCTGGGTCAACTCCATTATTCGCAACTCCACTCTGAAGAAATCCATGGTACGGTTCATAATGTGATCCTGAGTTCAGGGGCACATTGGTGAAATCGATGTTTTCACTCACAACTAAACGCTTCAGTTTGAAACTTCCTTGGCCCAACATATACGTTGTGTTGTCCATCTCCTCCGATAGGGTGTCACTCCTTCCGCAGGGCCATATACAACGGGTGCACCCTGCTGTTCAGATGAAGTTGCACCCGAACTGGGCGGAGCGTGCACGTAATTATCCAGATTCCATTTGACACCCAGCGCCGCATAGAAGCCAATAATCGGTTATACGAAATTAACCATTCTCCCAAATCGATGCTTGGGTGAATGCGCGCTACAATCGTTCACTTGCGCATCCGGGCGCGTCACAGGAAGAACTGACGCATGATGTCACTTCCTGGTGGAATTATTGATCACAGACTGCTTGATGGCAACTTTTCTGCCTCACAACCGTAGTGTTTTCCACTTGGATGGCGTTTCATCGCTTCCCTCCGCACGGGGCGACCGATCAGGCTCGGCGACGCGAGGCAGGGCAAATTTAGAAAAGCAGCGCTCGCGGCTCGACGCTGCGCCCGGTATCCAGATTGACACTTGGGCCTCGAGCCTCGACGCGCGACGAAGATGCCAGCACTGACGACGCCGGGAGGCGCAGGCTGACAGCGGGCAAGGGGAGAGAGGTTAGGAGGCAACTGCTGGGAGGCCTTCGTCGGAAGGATTCGGGAAAATTGAGCCCCTTTGGGGGGCTGTCATGCCAGATTGGGCCCCGGACGAAGCCGGATTCAGCGGGATCAAGCGGGAATCAGCCAGATGAAGCGGGATTCAGCCGGACGTCGGACCGGGGCAAGATCAGGATCTGGCCTCCCAGGAGTTGCACCCGAAGAGAGGGCGAGAGCGGCAAAGGTGCGGCGGGTCACGCGCTCAAGACCCAGGCAAAGTCGGTCCCTGGACCCGCCCGGGGTCCATCCCCCCGACCGGTGCTGCGAGGCGGGCCTGCCCGTGGCGACGCGGAGGCGCACGGAGGGGCCTCTGAAGAGGACGGGGAGCTCCCGGAAGGGCCCCGCCGCCGACGTCGCCGCCGTCCTGGACCTCATCGTGGTCGTCGTTGTGGTCGTCGTCGCCGCCGTCGTGACGGTCGTCGACGGCGCCGTCGTCGTCGTCGTCGCCGCCGCCGCCGCTGCTGCCGCCGCCGCCGCCGCCGCCGCCATCGCCGTTGTCGCCGACGTGGTCGTCGCCGTCGCCGTCATCGCCGACGTCGTCGCCGGCGTCGTCAACGTCGTCGTCGTCGTCGTCGTCGTCCGTTGTCGTCTGTCGTCGTCGGTCGTCGGTCGTCGTCGGTCGTCGTCGGTCGTCGTCGTCGTCGTCGTTGGTCGCCGTCGTCGTCGTCGTCGTCGTCGCCGTCGCCGTCGGTCGCCGTCGCCGAGGACGGGCGGCGAGGGGCGCGGCGGGTCCGCCGCGTGGACCCGCCGCCCGCGCAGGCCACCTCGAGCGCCACGCCGCCCAGCCCGGCCCTGCACGCCTCGGCGGGCGGGGCGGGGCGGGGCGCGGCGCCGCGCCCCGCCGTCGCGGCGGCGGGGGGCAGGCAGGAGCAGCGGCAGGCTGTCCGACGCAGGCGTGGCGCGCAGGAGGGGGGGGGGAAGGGGGAGGGAGGGGAGGGGGGGGAGGGGGAGGGAGGGGGGAGGGGCGCGGAGCGCGAGGAGGGGGGCGGAGGGAGGGAAGAGGGGGAGGAGGAGAAGGGCGAGGAGTGCGAGGAGGCGGAGGATGCGGTGGAGAGATAGGAGGGAAGGGGGGGGGGGAGGAGGGCGGAGGGAGAGAGGAGGACGAGGAGTGCGAGGAGGAGGAGGAGGAGAAGAGGAGGATTGGATTGGACTTGATTGGGCTGGACTGGCCACTTCGTGTATCAGGCTGCGACAAGCCAGCGAGAGGAGCGGAAGTGGACCCCCTTCCCCACCCTGCAGCGCTCGTGGCAGTGAGAGCGCGCGGGAGTAAGGAGAGGGGCAAGCAGGAGAAGATACAGAGAAGGGAGGACGAGGGGTAAAGACAGAGGCTGGGTGCGCTCGCGCCATATCTGACATCCTACCCCTCCCACCCGTCCCCTCCTATTGCGCTGGGTCGTCTCTATCCACCGACGGGTGTCCTGGCGGACCTGTCTCGCCCAAATGGCCACATCATGTGCTGCTGCACACTCACAAGAAGGTCACTGCACACGAGGAGGAGGAGGAGGAGGAGGAAGAGGAGGAACGCGGCAGAGGCACCACCATTTTTGAAAGGCTGGGGACGTCCTGAATGGAAAAAGCAATCGAACACCATCTCGGGCCCATCCTGTGGGAAAGCTGCATACGATTAAAGTTATCGAAAACAAGCAGAGCGTCCGAGGAGAGAGGAGAGCAGTATTTGTGATGACCAGGTGCGGAGGAGCAGGAGGAGGGGGACGAGGAGGAAGAGGAGGGGAGAGAGGAGGAGGAGGAGGAGGAGGAGGAGGAGGAGGAGGAGGAGGCGGAGGGAGGAGGAGGGGGCGGAGGAGGGGGGTAGGGGCCAGGGTAAGCGTCCCAGAGCAGTGCCCACAGCATCCGCCTGCACCGGGGGGACCCCTTTACGACTCCCCTCCTCGCCCGCCCGGCTTCGCCATGCGCCCGGCCTGGGCCCCCGCCCTGCCCGAGCCAGCTCGAGGTGCACGCGGCGGGCGGGAGCGGCCCGGCCAGGGCATCCCTTCCCCGGGCCCGAGTGCTGCTGGCCCCCGGACATCCTTCACCCAAAGAGCAGCGAGCAGTGCAATGATGTCTTGAACACTTATGCGATGGCGTCGACGACGACGACGACGACGGCGACGGCGACGGCGACGGCGACGGCGACGGCGATGGCGATGGCGAAGACGACGACGCCCGCTGACGTCCCATAGAGAGCACAAAACGATGACGACGACGACAACGACGACGACGACGACGGCGGCGACGACGACGACGACGACGACGACGACGACGAGGTCGAGGTAGACGACGACGACGACGACGACGACGACGACGACGACGACGACGACGACGACGACGACGACGACGACGACGAGGTCGAGCCCCGCGGCGGCCGGCTGGCCTCGTTCTCGAGGCTGCCCGCCGTGTCCGGCCCCTGTCCGCCGCTGGAGCACGCCTGCAGTTTCTCGGCGTCGGGGGCCTCGCAGCTCCTCCACTCTCCTCCTCTCCCTGTTCTCCTCCTCATCCTCCCCTTTCTCCTCCTCCTTTTCCTCCTCATCCTCATCCATATCCTCCTCCTCCCTCCTCCTCCTCCTCCTCCTCCTCCTCCTCCTCCTCCTCCTGAACCCCCTGAACCTCCTCCTCCTCCTCCTCCTCCTCCTCCTCCTCCTCCTCCTCCTCCTCCTCCTCCTCCTCCTCCCCCTCCCCCGCCCCTTCCCTCCTCCTCTCCCTGTCCTCCTCATCCTCCTCCTGCTCATCATCACCCTCATCCCCATCCTTATCCTCATCGTCATCCTCTCCCATCCACCTCCTCCTCCTCATCATTAGCAGCATCATCACCATCATCATCATCATCATCATCATCATCATCACCACCATCATTATCTTATCATCATCATCGCCAGCATCAGCCGCAACAGCAGTAGTACCATCATCAGCAGCAGCATCATTACCATCATCATCATCATCATTATCATCATCATCATCATCATCATCATCATCATCATCATCATCATCATCATCAGCAGCATCAACATCACCATCACCATCACCATCACCATCACCATCAGCATCAGCATCAGCATCAGGATCAGCATCAGCATCAGCATCAGCATCATCATCAGCAGCATCAGCATCAGCATCATCATCAGCAGCAGCATCAGCATCAGCATCAGCATCAGCATCAGCAGCAGCAGCAGCATCAGCATCATCATCATCATTATCATCATCATCATCAGCATCATCATCATCATCATCCTGACCCTCATCCCCATCGACATCCTCGTCCTCATCCTTCCTCATCCACCTCCTCCCCTTTCTCCTCCACCTTTATGCATCCTCCTCGGAGGCGTGAGTCCGACCCGAACATGCCGTACAGCCATCTTGTAGCACATCGTTTCCCGAGCGGCACGGCCAGAAAGCGCCCGCCACGTAGCATATACTAGAAGATTTCTCGGAGGTCGCGTCGCCCCCGGGGGGGGGGGGCGACATATAATTAGTAACCCAAGACCTGCGTTACGGCACGGCTTAAGATGGACAGGACGCAACCGTCATCACGTTGATTCGCGATGTTGAAGTTCCAAGATTTGTGTTCTGGCACGTCAGGACGCAACAGACACGTTGATTCGCGGCGTTGAAGTCCCAAGGATTGTGTTCTGGCACGGCTGAAGATTCTCAGACGGTTGTCTTCCGATGAGTCACTTCCCGTAATGAAACTAAACTCTTGTAGGGACCTATGAAGAGGGAAATAAGGGGAGGGTTTGCTTGGTGCGTCTTGTGTTTGTGCTGGTCCACCTCCTCTCTCCTCCTCCTGCCTCCTCCTCCTCCTCCTGCCTCCTCCTTCTTCTCCACCTCTTCTCTTCATAATTTCGCAAAACCTGTGGGAGGGGGTGGCCCCAGTGCTCACAGTGGTCCCGAGAGCTGCCTCCGCAGATCCCCCGAGTCCTTGCTAGGACGACAGCTTGCCTACCCTGCGTTGCACTGCCTGTGCCGACGCGATCAAGACAAGTGCTTCGGAAAGAACCAAAAAGAAACACTTTCAGAACAACGCGTGCCGCCCATGAGAACCAGCGTGGCCTGCGCTACACTCCCGCGCGTGCTCATCGCCTCTTCCCGCGCGTGCCCCATCCTCCCGCCCCGTGGAGCACACGAACGACCAGGGCTGCAGGCAAGCGTTCAAGCCCAAATGAGGCCGGGTGGGCGAGGCGGTGGCTTCCGGAGCCTAGCCCGCCTCCTGGCGGGCCTCGCAGCGAGGGGGGGGAGAGCAGGACGACGACATCGCGGTCGTGTTGGGGCACTTCTCGACGTGCTCGTCGCGGCGAGAGGGCGCGCTGCGGCGAGAGCCAGACTTTCAAAGCGGGCAGCCTGCGATCCGCGCAGCTGCTGCATACTCTTAAGACGAACGTGCGCAATTCGCGGGAATGAAACACACATGCTGATAACGACCCGCCCCAAACCCGCATTACTGTTGGGGTGCTCCAGCCTCTGGGCCATGACTTGCGAAACATCTGGCCAAACGCCTGGCCAGTCCTGCCGACATGTCGGGTGGCCCGACGAGGACTCGTTTTACCAGGAAGACAGGACAGGTGGGTGGACAGGTGGCGGGGGAGGAGGAGGAGGGGAACGGGGAAGAGAAGACGAAGGAGGAATCGCGGCGGGAGAAACAGAAAGAACGGCAGGGTGAGCGGGAGGAGTGGGCAGGAGCAGCGGCAGCAGGGAGAAGGAGGAGGAGGAGGAGGAGGCGGAGGAGGAGGAGGAGGAGGAGGAGAGGGAGAGGAGGAAGAGGAGGGGGAGAGGGAGGATGAGGATGAGGAAGAGAGGAGGAGGAGGAGAGGAGGACAGGAGCAGGAGGAGGAGGAGGAGAGGGAGCGAGCGGGAGTGAGGGAGAGAGGAGTAGAGGGAGGGGAGGAGGAGAGAGAAGGAAGGAGATGGAGGGAAGGAGGAGGAGGGAGGAGAGGTAGGAGGAGGAGGAGGAGAGGGAGGAGGAGAGGGAGGAGGAGCAGAGCGGCGGGCACCAGCGGGGAGGCGGAGGGCGCGAAGAGGCAAGGGCGGCCTGGCAAGGACCGACGTAGACGGCCTGCTCCTCGTAGAAGCTGTGCCTCGGGGGGCCGTTCTCTCCGCAGGCGCGGCTCCCTGAGACGAATCTCGGGAGGCGAAAGCAAGGGGGGAGGACGAGGCAGGAGGGAGGGAGGGGGAGAGACAGGGGAGGGAGGAAGGATCAGGAGGGATGGGCGATTCGAGGGCGCCTGGCGTATGGGCACCAACGCCCGTTAGTGGGACTGCGAAGGCGGGGAGGAGTGAGAAGAAAGGAGGGAGGAGGGAGGCGGGGGGGCAGGAGGAAGAAAAAGAGGAGGAGAAGGACGAGGAGGAAGGAAGGACGGAAAGAAGGAGGGCGAAGGGAGGAGGAGCTTGAGGAGGAGACTGGCCAGAAGGCAAGGATGGCAGAGCAGATGCGCCCTCAAGAAGCAGGCAGCGCCCGAGTACAGCACTGAAGACACCCGACACACAGTCGTGCCAGCATCAACGGTCAATCGTGAGTCTTCCGCCGCAGGCAACGGGCCAGACCGTCAGCAAGAACGGCGGCAACATCCTCCCCCTTCCCCCTGTCGCCTCCCTCCACCTCCTAAGACCGATGTCTCCCTCCTCTGTTTTCTCACCATCTTCCCCCTCCTCCTTCTCCTCCTCATCATCATCATCATCATCACCACCAGCATCAGCATCATCAACAACATCATCAGCACCACCACCATCACCATCACCATCACCATCGCCATCCCAATCATCTGCATCATCATCAACATCATCATCAGCAGCATCGTCATCATTACCATCACAATCACCATCACCGTCACCATCACAACCACGAACTTTATCAACAGCGCCATCATCATCATAATCATCATCATAATCAGCATTACTATCAACAGGATCATCGTCATCATCATGATCACCATCACCATCACCATCACAATAGTCATCATAGCCATCATTATCATCAGCTGTCTCATCATCACCATCACCGTCATTAGCATCCTCATCACCATCAGGTTCATCATCGTCTTCACCATTATCATCCACATCCTCATCCTTATCTTCACCCTCATCATAATAATCGCCATTCTCATCAGAAGCATCATCATCGTCATCATCGTCATCATCAGAACCATCATCAGAATCGCCATCAGCATCAACACCATCCTCATTCAAGTTATCCCGCTCCATCCCTTTTCATTCTAAGTATGCTTTCCCTGTTGCAACCCCCGAGACGTGTCGGCAGGGCGGACCAGGAGTTCCGCCTGAGATCTCCTCGCCATTTCATGACCCTGAAGCTTGACAATTGCAGCAAGCTCAAACATCGAGGTCTGGTGGTTTCAACATGTGGCTCTCGCCTCAGCGCCGCGCGCATTCGTCTCAACGGTTTTCAACAGCTTCACAGATGGAGGCCCGTTCCTTGTGAAGATGTGGCTCTCGCCTCAGCGCTGCGCGCACTCGTCTTCTAAAACATCAGCGGTTTTCAGGGTGGGGGGCGGATCGTGTGGCTCCCGTCTTAGCGCCACGCACGTTCGTCTTAACCGTGCGCAACAGCTTCAAGGCTGGAGGGCTGGTGGTGTTCAAAATGTCGCACTCGCCTCAGCGCCGCGCACATACGCCTTCAATATCTGAAGATGTGGCTCTCATTTCAGCCCCGCGAGCATTCGTCGTAAAAGGTTGCGAAAGCTTCAAAGCGTCGTACGGTCGAAGTCCCAAAAACGGAGCTGACGCGATAAAAACTATCATCATGCCACAGTGAATGTGACTCGCGGGTCGAAGTCCCAGGAATTGCTCTCTGGCACAATTTAGGAAGGTCAAGGCGCAAGAGTCCCGTTGATTCGCGGCGATGAAATCCCCGGAATGGTGTTCTGGAGCGATGTAGGGCTGTCATGACGATTGTCTTCCAACGTGCCATCTTCATCCTGGGAAACAAGTTCTAGGGCCCTATGAACAGGGAACTTGGAAAAGGGTGTGTATGCAACATCGTCGATGCATATTGGGTTTTTGTTGGTCCTCCTCCTCCTCCTCCTCCTCCTCCTCCTCCTCCCCCTTCCATCCCTCTCCTTACACAAAATTTGTCCCTGCCGCACCCCCAGCAATGTCGGCACGGCGGGCCGGGCGTTTCGCTTAAACCTGCCACGCCACTGCTGCTTCTGAAGCTCGGCATGTATAACGGCATCGCGGATGGAGGGCCGCTGGTTTCCAAAATGTGGCTAACGCCTGGGCGCCGCGCACATTCGTTCAAAACTGTGCATCAGCTTTGAGGACGGTGGGTGTGTTTATCACTTGTTGCTCCCGCCCGAGCGCGGCGCACAGTCGTCTAACATCGCAGCAGCTTCACGGATCGAAGCCAGATCGTTTTCAAGAAGTGGCTCTCGCTTCAGCGCCGCGCGCAGTCGTTTGTTTTTATATAAAAAACAAAAAAAACTTCCAGCATTTTCAACGATCGAAGGCTAATTCTTTTCAAAATGCGGCTCTCGTGTTAGCGCCGCGAGCGTTCGTTTTTTTAATGACAGCAGTTTCACGTATCGAGGGCGGTTCTTTTTCAGCATGTGTTTCTCGCCTGCGCCTTCGTCGCACGGTTGAAATCCCAAGAATGGTGCTGTGGTGCGTTTCAGGACTGTCACGACGCAACAATGACGTTCATTCGGGGTGCTGATGTCCCAGGAACGGCTTTCTGGCAGGATCTAGGCTTGACAAGGCGCAACAGCCATTTTGATTCGCAGCGCTGAAGTCCGAGGAATGGTGTTCTGGCACGATGGAGGATTGTCAGGACGGTCATCTTCCACTGGGGGCACCTCCCGCAATGAAAATCGGTTCTTGCAGGAACCTGTGAAGATGGAACGTGGAGAGAAGAGGTTTCTTGCAACATTGATGCGCCTTGGGCTTACACTGGCCTCCCTCCTCCTCTTGCGCTCTGACGCTCCTCAGCAGTCGTCCGGATTACACAAGACGCCTGCCCGATATGAAAACAGAAAATCAACGCTTCCTCCTCCTCCTTCTCCTCCCTCCTCATCCCACCTTCACTCCCCTACCTCCCTCCTCCCCTCCCTCCCCCCTCCCCCCTCCCCCCCTCCTCCTCCTCCTCCTCCTCCTCCTCCTCCTCCTCCTCCTCCTCCTCCTCCTCCTCCTCCTCCTCCTCCTCCCCCTGCTCCTCGGATTCTCCCCCCCACCTCCCTCCCTCCCTCCCGCCCCTTCTCCTTCCCCCTCCCTCCCCGCTTGCCCCCTCCCTCCCCAGACGCCTTGCCCCAACGGACGGACCTACCGAAGCGGCAGCGCCAACGAGGACACCAGCGTGGATCGCAGCGCGGCCGCGCCCTGGAGATCGAGGGAGATGCGCCGCCGTCCCCGCCCCAGGCCTGAGCCTCCTCCTCCTCCTCCTCCTCCTCCTCCTCCGGACGCGACCCCCATCGTGAGGCGCACCGTGAGGACGAGGCGGCTGGACACGCTGATGAGCTGCCCGCCGCTGCCGATCTTGGTGGTCCTCGGGATGTTGCTGAGGAGGAGGGTGGTCCGTCTGACGAAGCCGTGGCGGCGATGCGATGACCAGATCATCGACGCCAAAGCAGATGGTCTAAAGACCGCGCGGGAAGAACTGGGCCACATCGTCTTTGAGGTCAGCAACGTTTATTGTTGTGAGCGTTGCGCTGGCACGTGCGACGTGTTGCGCCCTCCTGATGCGAGGAAGCTGAGACGGCCGTGCCTCGGTCCATCGTCCAACCCATCGGCTTTACGCAACCAGCGCACAGCGAGAAGTCGGGTACGACGAGGCCTACCACCACGACAGCGAGGTGTTCCTGCCGAGGCTGAAGATGGTGGGTGACCAGAGATGGCTGATCCAGTATCGCCACTCCTCTGCATTGGTGGAGGCTCGCCCGTCGGATGAAGGTGGCACCGTTACTGGTAACTCGTACGGGTCCAGGAGCACATGCCGTTACTGGTAACTCGTACGGGTCCTAAGAATACGCATTCTGCGATGGCCTGGTGGACGACTTCGGCCTGCCCCTGCCGAAGATCTACCTCCTCCTTGGGGTCATCTGACTCCAGTGCGACCGTCCGCCGCATGCTTCAGCCGCGGCGCCGCGGCATCTCGACGCGGCGTCGCTATCTGCAACTCTGCAACTCCGCCTCCTCCTCCTCCTCCTCCTTCCTCCTCCCTCCCTCTCCTTCCTCCTCCTCCTCCCCCTCCTCCTCCTCCTCCTCCTCAACTACTCCTCCTCCTACTCTCCTCTCCTCCTATCATCCTCCTCCTCCTCTCCTCCTCTTACTCCTCCTCCTCTCCTCCTCCTCCTCCTCCCCCTCCTCCTCCTCCTCCTCTTCTCCTCCTTCTCCTCATCCTCCTCCTCCTCCTACTCCTCCTCCTCCTCCTCCTCCTCCTCCTCCTCCTCCTCCTCCTCCTCCTCCTCCTTCGATCGAGCCGCGGAGCCGCACCCGGCCCGGGGACGCAGCGGATCGCCAGCCGCGCCGAGGCGGCTCGAAGCCGGGAAACGCCGCGCCCTGCTCCGGCCGGCCCCGGCCGACGCCGGCGGGCCGCAGGGAGCCCGAGCGGAGCGGGATCGCGGTCCGATCCAAGGAGGAGGAGGAGGAGGAGGAGGAGGAGGAGGAGGAGGAGGAGGAGGACGGGGAGGAGGAGGAGGAGGAGGAGGAGGAGGAGGAGGAGGACGGGGAGGAGGAGGAGGAGGAGGAGGAGGCTGGCGGATGGAATGGCATCGAATCGGATATCGCAGGCGGCCCTGTCCCCTCCCTCCCCAGATCCCAGAGATTCAACGCATTGAAAAAATCAGGACGCAAGTATTTCGCCATTTTCGGCCCCCAGAGGCCCTCGCCGGGCCTCGGGGCCGTCAAAAAACAACTCGGGATGAAAAACCGACCCTGGGGAAAGGGTCGGGACTTCCGGGGACCCGGGACCCCGTATTGAAAAAATCACGACATCGGATCTCTGGGTCCCTCCCCAGTTCACTTCCCTTCCCCTCCGCCCTTCCTCCACACCCCCTTCCCCAGTGACGCTCACATACCGCAGGAACCCCTGCAGGGGCGCCCGCAAGGATCCTGGCAGGAGGCCTGGAGAGGAGCCTCGCAGGGATCCGTGCGAGGGTGTTTCGAGGCCTGGAGCGGGGGGCTGCTTGGAGGCTTGGGGAAAAAGCGCACGGATCCTTGCAAGGGTCCTTGGAGGCCTGGAACGGAGGCACGCAAGGATCCTTCCCGGGAGCTGCTTGGAGGCTTGGGAAAGGACCCCGCGAGTGCTTGAGGCCACGGGAACACAAACTGGCTGGGGTTCAGAAGTTGAATGATGTCTGCAGGCGAGTGAACCCCAGAGGGGTGTCCGATACCCCGCCGTCAATTGAACCCGTAGGTGTAGGGCTTCAAAGTGGTCGCAGACCTCCGCCACCCCCGCCACCCCTTCCTCAGTTACGCTCATTGCCGAGGCCACGGGAGCACAAATGTGCGGGCCCCAGAGCCCAAGAGTAGAGGGTGTCCTCCGAGCCCTAGGACACTGAAACGCGGCCCGCGGATGCAGTGGGGCGGCACGTGTCCCACCGCTGGCAGTAATTATGCCCTCAAGCAGGGGGGCCTGAGCGAAAAGCGGGGCTCCACCAGGAGCGCAGAGGACTGCTCGGCGTCGGCGCTCCGCGAGCCTACTGGTGGGTGCCCGCGGGCAGCAGTACTGAAGCTCATACGTACGACTCTCAGACCCATCGTGGCATGTTACTGTTGCTTGCGTGCATAGCGTGCACGCGCGAATGCAACACCGAAGGCCGCCTGTCCACTTGCCCCCGCAGCTCGAGCGCCTCGCCGTCGCTGTAGCCCAGCTGCCTGAAGGAGCAGATCGCACTGACGGGCAAGAGCACAACAGGACATGCCGAGGCATGGGGGGCCGAGGACGGATGTGCTCCTCCTCCTCCTCCTCCTCCTCCTCCTCCTCCTCCTCCTCCTCCTCCTCCTCCTCCTCCCCCCTCAAGCCACCTAGGCTCAAGCTTGCTTGAGCTGACTCCTGTACCTGCGCGCGGTGCTTGAGGCACTCCGAGGCCCCGCTCCATTGATCGGGCCGCGCTCGGCTGACCAAAGCAGGAGTTCAAGCCATGGCACGTTCTAATTCTATGACACGGTCGTCCTCTCCCCGTCTGTGGTCTCGCTGTGGCCAACGCAAACGGTGTGAGTGGAATGACGTCCTTAGTAAGCTGGACAACAAGTGTGTTCACTGCGCCTGTGAGGTGACCATCTTCAAACCCAAGGGCAGCAAGGTGAGATCCTCCTCGCGGGATCGCAGGGTTACGTTCAGCGACCACGTCGAGATGAGGCAGCAGGGGTCCACCATGCAGGCAGGGGGGACTGCCAGACCGTGGGCGAACCCCACCTCTGTTCGTGACCATCTTATGGAGGCGCTGAATATGTCCCAGGATGAGGAGCTGAGGAAATTTCTCAAGCAGCGGCTGGAGTCCCTGTCAGTGCAAGAGCAAGCGTCGGCGCCTCAGCCGTCCGCTGCAGCTGCGTTGACCAAGGCCGACTCGGCCTGGCGGGACGCCAATCATAAGCATGACCAGGCGGTGGCCAATGTGAGGAGGTTGCGCACGGCGCTGGCCACCGCAGAGGGCAAGGAGGCGGCAGCTGCTGTTATCCTTGCCAAGGCCGAGATCGTGCGGAAGGGCGCGGTGGAGTCGCTCGCCAGGGCCGAGGGGGTTGCAGCGGCGCCCATGGCTACTGCGGGCGAGCAGAAGCCGACGGAGCTCTTCGCCATCACCTGGGACGAGTCGATCTTCCAGGACGTCGAGGGGCTCGAGATGGAGGAGTCCGAGAGGGAGGAGCTGAAGACCATTCACGAGCAGCTCACGACCATGCAGAAGGCCTTCACGTCCAAGTCGGGGGAGGTCAAGGAGTGGCTGGCGAAGGCGGCGAAGGTCCGCGAGAACATCTCCTCGCGCATGGCCAAGAAGCGCAAAGGGGCTGACGGCGGAGCTCATGCTGCCGCCGCGGGGGCCGCTCCGACGGCCCCGACCCCCGAGGGCGCCAGCCAGGGCGGAGGCGAGGCTGCTGCTGCTGAGGAGGAGGCGGCGGCGAGCTCACGCGAGGAGCAGGAGGCCTTCGACGCCAAGGTGCAAGCCGAGGCGGAGCGGCTGTCGGCGGCCAAGTTCGCGGCTGCCGAGGCTGCGGCGGTGGCTGCAGGTGGCGCCGCTGGCGCCAGTGCTGCTTCGGCCGCGGCTTGACGGGTTGCGCCTGGTCGCGAACCCTGCTCGCCGATGGCCGGCGGCCAGGCGCCAGTTTTGTCCGACGAGAAGCCTGTCGACGTCCAGGACACGTCCGAGGGCCTCTCCATCTTCTATGCCAGCGTCACTACTTTGGGGGATCAATTATGGACGTATCTCACCCAACAATGTGATCACCATGCTCTGTGGGGATGCGCAGAGACTCATGTCCCTGAATCTGGTCTGCGCAAACGAGAGCAGGTATCACGCAAGCACAATCGTCGAATGATTGCGAATGCTGCACGGTCCACTGGGCAGCATCGGTCAGCAGCTACGGCCGAGAAGGCTACTGAGGGTGGCGATATCATCTTTGCCAAGAAGCACCTCCAAGTCTCCAGCCTGAGCGACATACAGGCTAAGGCCCTCAAGGCCCCAGGGTCCATGGCGGTGGGCGGTTTCGTGGGGTCCGTCGTCCACTGCGAGGGCTTCTCTTTCATTTTGTTCGTGTTCTAGGGGTACTGTTCAATTGGTATGTCTGGGCGCAACCTTGCTCGGTTTCAGCGGTTGGGAGCTGTACTGCAAATGTTGCAACTGCCATGGATATTGCTTGGGGGCTGGAACGTCAATCCTTCTGAGCTCGACAAGTCGGGCTTTCTCCTACGTGTTCACGGGCAAGTCATGGTGCCCCCAGTTGCTGTCACCTGCGACACGGGCACCGAGGGCTCGCTCATCGATTATGCAGCCATTTCGGAGGCCATGGCACCGTACATCCTGGACTGCCAGGCTGTGCTTGATGTTCCGTGGCGGCCGCACATTGGCATCACAGTTAAGTTCAGGGGCAGCGGCAAGCAGCTGGTCACACGCCGCCTTGAGGCGCCAGCTCGCCTGCCCCAAGTGACGCGGCCCCGCGCGTTGCCGCAGGAGGGGTCCAAGTCGTCACTCGCCAAAGCCGAGAGAGCCATCCAGTCTGCTGCTGCCGCTGAGCGTCGCTCTAAGTTCTTCTCAGAGTTGTTTAGCGATTGCGTTGTCCAGGATAGGCAAGAGGAAGACACATCAGCTCCGTCTGAGGACGAGTCTCTAATTGATGAGTGGCCCGAGGAGGAAGATCCCTGGAGTCGCGAGCCGAATTTCTATGCTAGTTTCTGCCCGTCTGTGCAGCCAGGCCAGCCTTCCGCTGTTGATCCCAGTGGGCCCTTGGCCGGTGCGAGTGGAAATGGTCAGTCATCGTCTGAGCACCCTGGGTCGCAGAGTAGCACGTTGCCATGTCAGGATCCAATTCGGTTGTCCGATGGAGTCGGTTCCCCCCTCAGCGATTGTGCGCCCCGTCAGCTCGAGGGAGCGACCCTGGATGATCCTTCTCTCAGCGCGGAGCCTGACCTTTACGTGTCTCAGGATTGTTGGCGAACGAATCGGTCATCCATTTACTTCCAGATGTGCACGGAAGAAGATATGCACCCACTGTTTCGTTCTTCGGTAGCTTTTTGGCTCAACCCCAAGCCAGTTCCCTTTGTCAGCGCATGGTACTCTACGTGGGTTCGCGGCGTTGAGCAGTCGATTCTGGAGCATCACGGCGTCGAGCAACGGTCGGGGCCCAGCAGGAGCACGGGTTGCCGCTTTGTTGTTGAGGATGTTCGGCGGTCCACCAAGTCACGGCAGGCCCCGTTCCGTGATCAGGTGGCGTGCTGGTGGAAGCGCGTGGCCACAGTTTTGAGCCAAGCCTTGAAGCATAGGCGGCGTAAGAACGGTGCCCGCGAGTTAGTCAACATTCAACATATCTGTCGTCAGTTTGTGCACGCTCGGCCTTCAGGAGTCCACCGTCTACTTCGACCTGGCCGTGACGCTGGGGGTAAAAAGTGGGTCAAAGTGTTGCTCAATTTAGCCTCGCTCGTCGATCCCGTGTTGGACTCGCACTGCGATCAAGCCAGTCGGATCGCTCGTCGGGGCCAACGGCGCGCCGTGCACGAGTCCCTGGCGGGGTTTCAGGAGTGGGTCGTGCAGCAGGCCGCCGTCGGCCCATTGCGCCGCAGCATGAAGGAGGACCCACTGCCGTCGCTGGAGCTGTTCGAAAGTTCGGGAGTCACGATCCACCCCAGGGATATCATCGACACCAAGGCTCGGCGTTGGCAGGAGCTCTGGGCTCCACATCCTGTCGATCGAGATCGTATGCAGCGTGCTTTCGAGGCAGCACGCGCAGCAGCGGAGCTCGAGCAGATGGAGCCCATCACTGAGTGGGGCATCCGTCGTGCGGCTCACGCTATGAGGGCCACCACAGGCCTAGGCGCAGATCGGATGACGCCGATCGACGTCGAGAGGCTGCCGTCGGAGGCGCTGGTGGAGCTGGCCGAGCTGCTCAACACCATCGAGCGGACGCTGGCGTGGCCGCACCAGACGCAGCTCATCATCGGCAAGCTTTTGCCGAAGAAGCTGAGCGGCGACCGCGTGATCGGCCTGGCGTCGTTTCTCGGTCGACTGTGGTCGCTCAGTCGAGAAGGCCATGTTCGGCAATGGTGCAATCTTGTGGAGGCGGATTGGGACGCCGCCATCGCGGGCAATGCATCGCTCCGCGAAGCGTTCCACCGCACTCTGCAGGAGGAAGTGGCAGGGGCCTTGGGGACTCCCCATGGCCACGGCCTCCTAGATGTGAAAGGATTCTACGATAGTATTGAATGGGATATCTTGACGGATGTGGCATTAAAGTTATCTTTTCCCCCAGTTATACTGTTCTTAGAGTTGGCCCAATGTATGGTTCCCAGAGTGGTTGAACAAATGGGAGCGGTCGATGAACCCTTCTTGGCTACATGTAGTATTCTACAAGGGTTAAGATTTGGAACCCGATTTGCGAAGTGTATGACCCATTATGGAATGGCTAAAATCAGTTGCTCCCATCAAGGTGTGTCGCACCGTCTCTGGATTGATGACCTGTCGCAAAGTTTAGCTGGTTCCCGTCAAAAGGTTGTATCGCCACTCTCAGCTTGTTTAGCTGACACCGCGGATGAGTTGAAAAAGATGAAGTTGCAGATTGCGCCCAAGTCTTGTGTGGTGTGTTCTCATCATGGCGACGCGAAGGAGATCGTCCGACGTCTGCGGCGCCGAGGCTTCACTGTCCAAGCCCAATTACAGGCAGGGTTTCTTGGCGTTGGCTTGGGTGGAGGCAGGAGGACGGCCAGAGAAGTACGGACCAAGCGGGGGCTCAAGCAGAAGAAGCTCCATGCGAAGGTCGTGCGTTTCGCCAGGGCGTCCAAGCGCTACAGGGTGACGTCCAAGCTCGAGCGCCTGGGTGCTCAGGCAGCAGGTACGTATGGGCAGGCCATCCACGGCACGTATGGGCAGAAGCTCCAGCAATGCCGACGTGGGCTTGCAGCAGTCAGTAGTGCGGGAGGTAAGGGAGTTTGTATCACATCTCTTCTGTCAATTCGGGCCCCTGGCCAGGACCCAGGGGTTCAACCCCCTCATGATGTTATCGCGTTGTGGCTGCAGCAGTGGTTTGCTCACCCTCACATCCGCCCATCGGTGTACCGTGCATGGCCGATGGTGCTTCAGCGGATGGGGGCTATGCCACCGTCTCGTCGTTCCAGATGGGCAAGAGGGCCGATGTCCGCAGTCATCCTCACGTTGTTGGAACGTGGCTGGCAT